GTGGAATATAACGCTCACGCATACACGAATATGTTTTATATATATATATATATATATGAACATAAGAATGTATGTGTGTTAGCAGCAGCAGTAGCAATAAACCTAGGAAAAGTAACTTAAGTTAAGTGCTTTTATATGTTTATCCGAGTACAAAGGGTATAACATAAGAATTACATATAACACATATTACGTATATATACCATATAAATATGTATTATTTATTTGTAAGAGTGCGTGCGTGGGTGCGTGAGTGAGTGTGTGCATGAGAAGATGAGAAAATTTGGAAATGGTAAATGAAGAAAATGTTGAAAATGAAAAATAATAATTGTATTACTGTAAGAGAGAAGCATACACACGACAGATAGATATATCATCGACACTGAGAATAATAAAAATGTAGATGCGTTCTAGATGCGTTTTAGATGCATTCAAGATGCGTTCTAGATGCGTTCTAGATTCGCTTGATTAAATGTTTTCTAACTCAGTCGTCCCAGTACTCGAGGACGAGGAACACGTTTTCAACTGTTTTCATACCAAATAGAAGAAAAAAATCATCTCTTGAAGATACAAAGAAGAAGAGAATGAGGACCATGAAAGAGATCGACACAAAGCAGGTTATCATTAAAATTAAGATTTACAAATAATCATTAATATCATAATTATTATATAAATATTATCGCTATCATTTTTGTTGTTCTACTGTGATTATTATGATGATTATTATTATTATTATTAATGACGTTGTCATATATCCCACCGGTGTTTTAAGTTACCATTATAATCTTATCATTACCTAGAAGTATTTTATAATGTGAAAATAGTATAATAAGGCGACGAGAAAGCAAGCTTTCATGTAATAACCCCATGACCCTATTTTTTTTTTTTTTCGCACGAGCAGAGGATATAATACCCCACATATACGTGGTGGTGGTGTCTCGTCGTCGTCGATGGAACAACACTAACAAAGCAAGTAAGTAACGTAGTATATTATATCGATCTAACTTGAGCAACGGCGTTTACGATCAGAACACATTTCATCAAAATTATTCTAATTATATTCCTCCTAATGAATAAATAAATACTAACCTATAGAAAAAGAGAGTCCAAATGATAATCATGAGCCTTGGACTATAAAGAATAAAATACAAAAATAAAGTAGGATTATCAAAATGAAACGAAATATTTTGGATAACAAACGAAAGAATTGGAAAAACAGGAATAATAATCGATTAATCAAATTTTCTTTATCGCGTCTATAAAAGGAATAGAAAAAAAAAATTAGTTCGTCGGATAGGAATAGAATAATGTAGGAGGATTATAAGCAAGGGGGGGAATAAGGAGGAAGTTCGTGACGTTATACCGTTAATATCGGTCGCATGTTCGTTCCCATGTTCTCTCTTATTCGCTGCGTTTCGTTCTAAGCTAGTTTAATACCTTGACACGAGTCTTCTCGTGTCCTCGAAGGTCAGGCAAGCAACCAACCAACCAACCAACCAACCAAGCAAGCAAGCAGATTTACAGGCTTGAAAATGCCTGTCGTTGACCCAGAGGCAGCAGTCGAAGGGAACGGCTCTGGATTGTGGAGGTTGGAGAGGAACCGGAGGTTGGAGAGGAGGAAGAGGAGGAGGAGGAGAAAGCAGATCGATATTGAAACCCCCTAGGGTATACGCGTTACCTACGCTCCTGTCTGCTAAATAGCAACTCGACCTGAGAAAAAGCTGCTTCGGGGAATATAAACCATGTGTAGTAGTAGTAGTAGTAGTAGTATTAGTAGTAGTATGCGCGTTTGCCTACCCCCTTTGCTATCATCCGACTAGGACAAAAAGAAACGGACCGTTTCGCATAGATTTTCTTTTTCTACAAAAGTTCTTTTACTCTGTTAGATGATTGAAAACGTTAGATTCGATTCGACGGTGACATATATTCGTTTCACGCAAGTTCCCTCTCTTAAAGAATAGGTAGGATGCGAGAAGGCGTTTACGCGAATAATCTTCTTGCAGACACACCCCTGTGTTGGCCCGACACGAGCGTCCTCCATCCATCCCTCCCTCGCACCCACCCCCCTCCTGTTCTATTTTCCTTCATTTCTTTTTTTGGTAAAAGAAAGTAACTACTACATCATTTATTTATTATTTCGGGGAAAGAGATATTGCCAATTTTTGTTGCAACCCCCATACCACCTACCCACCCTTTGCAAATAGATATTTTAAAGATCCCTTTTCCAACGCGTGCTGGGTGGTAGTTTAATAATAAAAAGTAGGATACATCTATGCCTTTTTACAAGATATATATATATCTCGAAGAAGAAGAAAAAAATACACGTGGAAGAAGTTTTTTTCTTTTTTTTTTTTTTAGTCGTCGCTGACTCTCGATTTCGTTGTATAATATTCCGCGTACGTAGGCTCGTGGGGGCTTCTAAAGGATTTCGTTATCACTTTACCGCGATGTGATATTCAATATAGCTGACTGCATTATGCAGTAACTCGGACTGGACGCGTTGTTTTTGTTTCGCTCTGGAACACGGAAAAAAAAGAAAATAAAAGTATAGAGAAAGTTGAAACTGAGTAAAGTATGTCGGTTTCTTCTTCTTCATGTTCTTGCATGTCAACTAAACTACAAAACTTTACGAATATCTCGCAGACCTTGTCGTATTCGCACATCTTTGAGATTAAATTCGATAATACCTAATTTTTTTGTTCTTTTCTTTTTTTTTTTTTATCGGAAAGAGAAAAAAGAAAAATAAAAACCAATATAACTTAGAGTTCAGATACACATTTTCTTATTTTCCAAGCAAATGCACATTTCCTGTAACTCGTTTCGTACTCACGTTTAATGGTCCACCCCTTGAGTAGGATCAGGAAGCAGAGAGAGGGTTGTAGGTCTCTTGGTAAACGTTGAAAAGAAAGGGAGATGAGAGAGAGAGAGAAAAAAAGGGAATAACGAAGGAACGACAGGGCAAAGAGTAACAGAGTTTAAATCTTTGATGCTGGTAGAGGAGGGATCGTATAAATGCGAGCTTCTTTTTCTCCTCGGTTTTTCTCTCTTTCGTACAGCCCAATACAAAACTTAATAAAAAGATAAGAAACATCGACTCAGTTTCACCCTAATAGGGGACCCCCTCTTCCACACCCTCTGCACTCCTTTTTGTCCCATTCTTTCCATCGATCCGAACCTCAAATATATTATTATTACTATTATTGTTTTACACTATTATAATTTTCGATTCGTTCGATGAAAATGCGTCTGGTCTCGTCTCGGACATTGAAAAAACATTTCCCGTAGAAAAGCGATCGTTTTACGAGGGACCCACCCATCCGTTGGTTTCCTCAACATTTTTCCGCTTGGAAAAGAAGAGGAAAGAAAAAGTCGTATCGAAGGAGGAAAAAAAAACAGAAAAAAAAAAGAGGAATTCCTAGTGGAATTCTCGGTACCGTGGTACGTTTCCTTATATCTCAAGGAAATATACTGCCCTCGTCGTAAGAGTGGTACTAAGGTTGCTTGGTGAATGTATAGGGAGAGAAAGAAAATTGCAGGTACGTGTGTGGACCATCATCGAGATGGTAAAAGAGACACGCGACATTTTCTTCAAGCAACTTCTTCTATCTTTCTCTTTCAGTATTCTCGTGTCTCTTTGCCCTAAACATGTCCGGCACGGCGATGTTTTAAAAATAAACTCGAGTTGGAATATCGTTTCGACCGTCACCCATTACTATCCAAGCTACGTTTCTCAGCCAGCCAACCAACCAGCGTACTCATCGCATTCGGAATGATGCTTTTATCTCGATTGAACTCGCGAACGAATTCCATACTCCTCCTCCAGGCTTTTCTCCAATTAATATATCCAATTTCTTTTGGCATTCCTAACCGATTTTATCCACGCGAATCCTATGAAATATTTCCGCCATCTATCTGATGGTAGAGGGGTAGAGGGGTTCTTTAGATTTTCCCCTATCGAATACTAAACGGACTGCGTTGATGATTACTTATCACAAATTTAATTCTCACTCACCTCGAATATTTTGACATTTGCCGGTTTAATGCTCTTGAAAAAGTTCCAACGAAATTGATGGTTAAAACGCGACGAACAATCGTCCTGTTTATTCTTCTCGCTCGTCATCTCTCCCACCCCAATGATAATCTTTTAAATTGTACGATAAATTGTTTCCCCGGCGTGTTGTTAATTTTATTTTGAAAATATTTATCGGTAAATATGGGAAGTTGATTTTCTATATAGAAATGATTAGAAATTATTATTTCAATTTAGAATATGTATATATATGATTGGGCAACGGTATTAGACCGATGTTAAACAACGAGCGACGTTGACAATGCAAGGTAAGATTTTTTTAATTCCACGCGTCACCACGACGATATGTTACACATTCGATTCGATATATTTATTATATGCGTCGTCAAGGATCATGTTTCAATTGTCTATCGTTATTCTTTTATCTCAGGAAACGAACTGACTGACATTGTATTTTGAAAAAGTTTCGATCATACCAATTTGCGAATGCAAAATTCCAGAAAACTGCGTTAACATGTCGGCCATTAGGTTCGCAATGCAATCCTGTTGTTCTGAAAAAAAAAATCATTCAAAAGTTAAACGATGAAATGTTAAAAGAGAAAAAAGTCATTGGAGTATTTTTTTTGTTTGCATTCTTATACTACACATGGCATATAATAATATCTTAAAAACGTATCGTCATAAGAAAAAAAATCATTAGCTCTCATTGGTTAATGCAGAGTGAAAACAAATGAATTCGTTGTTTAAAAAGTTGCGTCTGTCCGCAGCGTTGATTGGTCGTGCCATTGGCGGTGGACGCCGAAATTTTTCTTTATTACGATGCGATTGGTCGGCGAATAAAGATGGCGGTAGTATTTAGATCGTAGTTCAAAAAAATAATTCATCGAAGCCGGTATCACCACACATCGCGTTGGAGGAAGAAAAATTCGAAAGATTTTCGGTTAGTTTCAGCGCGATTCTATTTTTTCGGTTGAGGTCTTTGGCTGGTCTGAAATAATTTGTCTGTGTTTTATTAAGTTACTATCGGTTTAGGTATAACAAAGAAGTTCCCATCTGGCGTGCACGCCGCGCCGGTATCCACGAGACTTCGAACGGGTTCTGTTCTGCTGTTGTGTCGTTGTCATCGTCATTATCGTTGCCGTCATCATCGTTGCTTCGAACTAAGAGAACAGAAAATAAATATAGAGGGGAGCGTGAGCGAATAAAAAAGCTAAGAACAATAATGCTGTCACACTGTGGTGTTCTCTAACGGGCTAGGAGAAATTTTTGGCGGTAGGAAAGGAAAGGAAAGCACTACACGCGCATCCGCGAATCGCGAGAAATTGATGTCGTGCTTTCGCGAGAGAAGGGAGACCTCCAGCGTGTTAGACGACGACGACGACGACGAGGAGGAGGAAGAGGAGGACGAGGAGGGGGAGGAGGAGAAACAAGAAGAAGAAAAAGGTGAAAGTGAATGGACGACGGCGGTAGAAATAACCTAAAAATAATAATCGTTCTCGCGTAGGAATTAGTTACGTGGTGCAACACAACGATAAGAGAATCATTTTCTCGATAAAGAAAATTCTCTAGAAAAAGAAAGAAGAAAAGTTTAAGATAGATAGAAATAGATAAATCTTAGGGTGACGTCGCGAATCGTTACAGGTGATCGTCGTCATGATCGTTGTCGTCGTCTCACATTGTCTACGATGTCTCGTACCGTCGTACGCGTGACTTAGGTGATATTCAAAGAAACATTCAATTGCCGATAAATATGGATACTTGTAACGAAAACGTAGACCAAACAGGATCCTCCGATGTAACCGTCACGAAAAAAACCTGGCAGGAAATTCGTGGATCGGTTAGCGATTTGAGAAGAAGAATGTCAAGTGTATCAGCAGGATCAGTGCCTGGTTCTATAACGTTTCGTTCTTTACCCGATGGACGGTAAATCATTATATTTGTTTTGTATCATTATATTGTAAACCTTTAACAAGTGTATCTATAAATTTGTGCTCTACTTTTTAGCACCAGAATATATTTTCTCAGTACACCATATAATGGTTGGGAAACCACACTTTTATATGTTGACATTGCGCACTCTGATCATGCCAATGGGTATCGGCTTCATTGGCAACCAGTTATAGAAGCAAATTTTCAGAGGTAAGAGACCGCATTATAAAATATTAGTGGCCCTTTATTGTACCATATTGTTTCTTATTTCTTCCCTCCCATGTGCTCTCAGCGTATCCAGTACAAATAGATTGTCCAAGGAAGAGCAGTTATTATGGGAAAGAAAAAGGCTAGCTACTTGGGGTATAACTAGTTATGAAATTCATGCAGAAAGTGGCAAGTTAGTTTTCCCAGCTGCGAGTAGTTTATATCAATGCATAGACACCGGCTTTATGGTAATTGATCAAAGACATATTGTAATGCGTGCTTCATTTATTCATCTTGAAAAAGACAAATCTTTCATTGTTTTTTTTTCAATTTTCAGCCAGGACCCTTGTTCCCATCTGAGATTAGAATATCAACTTCTGGTGCTAAACTATGTCCACAAATTTGCCCATGGAACAATGCATTAGTTTCCTACACTTGTTCCGGTGACTTATACTTGTCGCATAGCGTTACAGGATCATCGGTGAGATTAACTCATGCTAGGAAAGGAGGCAGAAATATGGCAGATGATCCTCTTACAGCTGGAACTCCTTCTTATGTCATGCAAGAAGAATTCACTAGGTTTGTAATTTATATCGTATGTCCTACTTTGAATTTCCTATTTAACAATAATGCATTTTTAGGTATATAGGCTTTTGGTGGCAGCCAAAATCTAATGATGGTATTTATAGAATAGTATATGAAGAGGTCGACGAAAGTGAAGTGAAAATATTTTGTTTCCCCTCGACCTCGAATTCCGAGGATGTAGATGAATTTAGATTTCCTAGAGCTGGTATGCCAAACGCTAGGAGTAATTTAAAAATGGTGCAATTCCGATTAACGGAAACTCTACAGATCGTTGACGACGAAATATTAGAGCTTCAATATCCTCTACAGATTATGTTTCCATGGATGGAATATATGGTTAGAGTTGGTTGGACCCCGGACGCCCAATAGTAAGCACAAATAATCAGTGCACGCGCGTATCATATATTATGCATCAAATGTTTAATAATCTCCTAATGTTTTTTTCTTCCTAAATGAACAGCGTTTGGGTACAATTGTTAGACAGAAAACAACAAAAGCTTGAACTGGTTCTGTTATCTGTCGACAATTTTTGCGAGCCTCCTACGAGCGTATACAATACTAAATCCTCGTCAGGAAGTGTTCAGGTTTTATATTCCGAACAGAGTGCCGTTTGGGTCAATGTCAACGATTTGCTTTACTTTCTGCCTTCGGATGACCCAACCGAAGTTAAATTTCTTTGGGGTAGCGAAGAATCGGATTTTAGACATCTGTATCTTATAACATCCAGTATTACTGGTACATAAAAAGAGACCATATCTATCTTAAAAAATAATTCATTCGAATGTTTCAATGTGATTCTTATTTTTCTTATAGGATTAAGTAACGGAGTAGAAGAATCTTTGGATCGAATGGATAGTATCTTTCTACAGCCGCGCGTTACTTCCAAAATTGCATTGACCCAAGGTGATTGGGAAGTATTGGGCAAAAAATTGTGGGTGGACGAGACCAATTCTATAGTTTACTTTTGCGGACTGAGAGAGGGCCCATTGGAACAGCACGTTTACGCAGTTTCTCTTCGTCGTCCGCTAGAAATAAGACTTTTAACAAGACCCGGTTATAGTTATAATAATGTATATTTTAATAAGGAGTGCAGTATGCTCGTCACCGTCTACAGCTCCATCAAAATATTTCCCATATGTCAAGTACGAGGGCGACGATTATATGTTCAAAATCAAATAATTAATGATACGAAGATTCTTCTCTTTAACTATATCGATTATGCATACCTGTTTTAGGTATTTAGGGTATCCCAAACCGATTGGACAGTAGAAAGTATAACGTTAACTCCGGTTGGTTACTTGTTGGAACCATCTTCTTCCGAGTCGGATTTATTCGCACCAGAGATTTATACGCATAAAATAATGTCAGGAGACACGATATATTCGATGATTTTTAAACCGCATAATTTCCAAACAGGAGTTAAGTATCCTACGATATTAAATGTCTACGGTGGTCCAGAAGTACAACTTGTATCAAACACGTTTAAAGTGAGTAGGAAATATGTCTCATACGTAACTAAGTTTTACAATTATATAAAAGACGAAACATTTCAACAGGGTATGAGACACTTAAGAATGCATATGCTGGCTGCACAAGGCTATTGTGTTGTTCTAATTGATTCTCGTGGCTCGCAGCATAGAGGATTGGTATTTGAAAGCTATTTGCGACGTCGTATGGGAACTGTCGAATTAAAAGATCAAGTAGAAGTTTTAAGGTGGCTCGCGGAAACGACAGGATACATCGATTTGAATCGCGTAGCTCTTCACGGTTGGTCTTACGGTGGATATCTTAGCCTGATGGGTTTGATACAATATCCCGATGTATTTAAGGTACGTCTCAGTTGTTAACTTAATCTATTTAACGGGGGGTCAGTGACAATAGAATCATTTGATATTTGACATTTTTTTTTCTAGTTGGCGATAGCCGGGGCACCTGTAACATCCTGGAATTTTTACGACACCGGCTATACCGAACGTTACATGGACCTTCCTCAAAATAATCCTCACGGTTACATGAGCGGTTCGGTTCTAACTTACGTTAGCAAGTTTCCCGACGAAGAAAATAGACTTCTTATTATTCACGGACTGATAGACGAAAACGTACACTTTTTCCACACCAGTCAGTTGATCAACGCTCTTGTAAAAACTGGCAAACCATATCAATTGCAAATTTATCCTAATGAAAGGCACAGTCTCCGAAATCTAGATGCTAGTAAACATTACGAAACCACCTTGCTATCGTTTCTGCAAAATTATTTATGAACCCACTCTTTCATTATGCTCACTTAGACAAATTGATTGACACATCAACGGCTAGATAAAAAGAAGAAGAACAAAAAAAAAAATGACTTTTTACAAAATTTGAGTAACTGCCATTGTTTTATGTGTATATAGAACTCAAACCGAATTAACGCGACCTATCCGCCGTTTCTCTGTATTTTCGCGATGGTATAAGCAGGCTGGACAGCCAGGTTTTATTCATTTTCAAGTTATATATTTGGGATGGTTTGAAAAACAGTATTAACATTTTAATCACGAAACTTGCAATAATGTATACACGAATATGTATTTTTACGTACTGTTATTAATATTATTAACAAGATCCCCTCGTATGTGAAATGAAAGAAAAAAAATGAAACTATGGAGGAACACCATCGCGGAACACGTTAAACATACAACGTTCTCGAGTTTTGATAAGAACGGATTGTAGGTATTTTTTAAGAAAATCGACAATACTCGTAATTATTTTGTACATACATAGGATATGCATATATATATACATACACACAAATTCATACATACATACATACATTCGTGCGTATAATCAAACGTAGATCTGCAAAAGATTTGTTTAGGGCTTTTACCCTAATTGTACTTAGAAGATATTTGTGCTATATATATATAAATATATATATATATATAAATATATATATATATATATAAATATATATATATATCTCTCTATCTTCTTCTGATTATTAAGAATTTTCTGCTTGACAATGTATATACGTGTGAAACTATCAAATCTCTTTTTACAGTAAACAATTATGAAAAAGTATTTTAGCATAACAACACCATTTGCGATCTTGATCATTGTGAAAATAATCGTATATCCGATGGATAATTATTTGTCAATAAATAAATTCGCTATTTTATACCTTTGTAAGATGTTCAACAATAACACGTGCGAAGGAAAATGCATTTTATCTTCGATGAAATAAGTAACTTTTTAAATTTACATTTATTAATCTTGAAGTATAACAGACAGACAGTGTGTTGTTGTCATATGATTTCTTACGATCTTCTAGAAAAACCTGTCTTAGTTTTTCTATTCAACTTCCTATATAAAAATCTTATTCTCTTTTCCATATCTTTCCATTTGGTTGGCCTTGCAATAGGGAAGATACCTGGTCCCCACATTTTTCTTTTTCTCAACAAAACTTGATACTCGTTTCCTTTGACTCCTCTTAACCAAGATGCGACATTGTACATTATTCTTGTCGGATGGAGATCATCAGATCCTAAAATATCGATATAATCATTTTGTCCAAACAATGCGCGTTTTTCTGACCAATAATTTTTCGGACGATAGATTGGCATTGGGAGTCTATTCATTCCATCAGTATGGGGCATTAATCCTTTCATATCTATTGGATCACAATAACCACGTCTTCGTACTAAAGGACCTTTTGCAATTTTATCTGCATGATAACGATACCGTACAGTATTCACTTGTGGAGTCCAAGCACGTATAGCAGTGCGTATGGTGTTAACGATGAAGGACATTCTGAAAAAATAATTCTACAACATTTGTCTAATCGTAACGATCAGAACATTTCATTTTATTCCTATAACCTAATTCACTGTTCTCTCAAATAACTCATTTACGTTTGTTCAACACTTTCGATCCATTCTTGACTTAACTTCATATTAGTTATTACTGTAGTATACGTAAATGACAATTAATCGTAAGATTATTACATACCTTTTTATTTTTAATGCGTCAATTTTTGTTTATACTGCAATTCAACGCATTATAGCTGTCTCATAGATTAAATTGCAATGTCCATCACAAAGTTTCACGATATTATTACGATTAGAATACAGAGTGCGCGTTCGTTTACAACAGTATGACCAACTTTGTAAACGAAATTACGAATAGGAAATGTTAAATCCGCGTTTTATTTGAAGTTGGTAAACGTTTCGTTATAGAATAGGATAAAAGAATGAACGAAAAAAATTGGAATGTGTAAAATTGTTCTGTTTTTTGCTGTTAACAATAATACTATACAATGCATTGTTATAGGAATTAAGCTGTCCGTGCTAAGATTAGAGTCGATACGATTAATCCTATCGTTGCTGCAACGAACGTACCTAAAAGAACAAAAAATAAATAATAGAAATAGTATATGAAAAAATGCAAACGAGTAGAAAAAAAAGCAATCCACATTAACAACCTGTGTTGCACCGCAAATCGTTGTCCCTGCAAACGCATTCGTTATTTTTGCATTGTAAAACATTAGGTTTACCATCGAGGATACACTCATAATCTTTGTTACACGAATTATATAAATCTTGAAAATAAAATCAATGAATTATTATATCACCATCGTTTTATTTGATGGTAAAACATTAACCCTTTGCACTGGATAAACAAATGCACTCTCGGTAACAACCGTTCTTTCATTCGCCCGAATTCAATTAAAAAAGTCTCCAGTGCGAAGGGTTCATTCGAAATGCAAAAATTATATGCAATTATTACTGCGAGCTTGAATGCATTTGCCGGTTTCGTTGACGAAATGTAGACCAGTGAAGCAACGACATTTATTATCGATGCATATTGCACGTTCCATGGCTTCTTCGCATTCGTCCCTTCTCTGGCAAGCGTCGCCTTCCCTCGATGGCCCTAAAAAATATATGATAAGTCAGTAAAAAGAAAAAATTATCATTTGATGATGATGATAATGATGACGACAAGAGACGATATAACTCGAGTCACGTTTAACTGCACCGATTAACTTTCTTATCTTCCGTCAATTTGTTTTATTTTTCCGATAGGGGCTGATCGATGATTATGATAGGAACGCTGATGATATTGAAGGAAAAACAAATGAGATACGCTTACTTTTGATACAATTAGACGAATTATTTATATCCAATGTGAACTCATCTTTGCAAGAACACACGTTTTGACGGCAAATTGCATTGGACATGGTTGCACAAATAGAATCATCCTCGCAACTCAATCCGGCTGCTGCAAAGGGTGGGCAAATAAAATAATTGTCTATGTATCGTTTTTTCTTCGTAATCGATCGGTAATCTAATTAACCCTAATCGTTAAATAATATTATACTTGCGAGACAAGCCGTCTTTTCAGGATTCGGTGAATAATGTTGTTCGCATTGACAAATTCTTTGACCACGACAAAATGCATTCTCGATGCAATGGTAATCCCTTTCGCATGGCTCACCGAATATTGTTGTTCCATGTGGTTTTTCTATGATCCACAAATAATTCATTATTAATTAACACTTCCTCCTAATGCAAGTTACGTTTGTATGCATGTGACACACTTACTTATAATTTCTGCCGAACAAATGAAAAATTCAATTCCAACAAAACAGAATACGAGTCTTCTTGTAATCGTTATCATCGTAAATAGGATAGAAAAATTTGTATCTATAATAATTAAATGTATCAATGAATCGCGCGAAACAATGAGTGCATCGGGCACAATTTTGTCAACTGAATATCTACGAGTACATACACGTAAATTGACTCACTTTTCTCCAACGTACACACCTTATTGCGATAATGCTTATCTCTTTATCTATCTCTTTTGATATACACTATATTCATTTCTAACGAGAACCTTTCGAAGAATTCTAAATAATGAAATACAATTCCGATTAAACAATGTCCGAATAAACATTTCTAACGGATGTTGTTGTTAATGTATCGGATGACAGTATGTTCATCGAAAATGAATATATTTCGTATTGTTATAGTTCTCTCTTATGCAACGAGATGCAACAGATTTATCATTAATTTTAATATCTATTAATTTGATTGAAACTATGACGTATATTTGAATAGTAAAGGACACGCGATATATCTATTTCATTCGGGTGCATAAACTCGTGCATAACAAAGTTTCCTTTTACGCGTATAGAAAGAGAAACTTTGAATTTATTTGAAATCAGTTGGTGGTGTGTCGAAAATACCAGCTCTTTTCTCTTATCTATCGAGTGTTCAGTGTCATCGTCGAGAAATATCTTTTGAATAAAACGGAAATAGAGAAACTGAATGTGTGTAGAATCAACACAAAGTTAAAGATCTTTCGATAATAAACCGATGATGATGATGATGATGATGTGTTATTTAGTTCTTTGACATATCGTGGGATCGATTCTAAAAAGAATTGACGATTCGATCGTGGATAAAATAAACGTGGGATGACAGTCTCATGGTTCATAGATTTACGTGAATTGTGATAGACGTTTAGAAGGTCTTTACCTTGAGAGAGAGAGAATTTATTTATAAGAACTTATAGAAAATTTATAACAACATTTATATATTTCATCTCGTTCATCATTATTAATTTCACTCGAAACACGTTGTAAACCAATTTAAAAAGGCCAGTTGTTTAAATAAAAAAGAAATAATCAGATTGATTTCATTTGTTATGAAAAATTATGCTTAAGGATTAACGTGATATGTATCTTTAGAGAAATCGTTGAAGAATACAAAAGTATCACACACACACGTTTATCAAATATTTCTCTACTTGTTACTTTGTTAGAACTTGGTTTTGGGTGGTTGCTGGTAGAAACGAGACACCTTGTATAAAAGACAGAGAAATGCTGATACGGTATAAATAGAGTAAGAGGTAACGACGAAATATAGGAAGAAAGACAGAGAAGGAAAATTCGAAGGCAAAACCAGAATTAGAGAGAGAGAGAGAGAGAGAGAGAGAGAGTGGGAAAAGACCTTCGCTAACAGCTAGAGAGAACAGAGGATTCGTATTCGCCAGTCGCACGTTGCCATTTACGTTGGAAGGCACCGTTCACATTTCTAACAAACTTTCAACAATATCATTGTTTACCCCAGTGATAGAAAATAAATTAATCGTGATCTATAGTATCGAATTCATCATGAGAAATTATCTCCTTATTTTTGGTATTTTCATTCTAATCGATCGTCCGATCGATGCACACAATTTCGGTAATTATTTGATCCTCTGATGCATATGCATTAAATGCACGTGTCGCATGAATCATACCATTGGAATTTCAATTAAAGCACTTATATTGTTAGATTTTTAATCGTGAAATTGTGTACGTGTTCGCGATCAAATTCAGACGATTAATACAACAATTTCGAATCAAACAAATACGGGGGGGGGGGGGGGGGGCCAGTGTTGTGAACAAGAAAACAAATTGATCAAATGTTTCATAAAATTACACTAATAAACTTATAATATTCCGCGTTGATTTTAAATTATGATAAAAGTTTTCTCTTATATCGAGTATTAACGCATATGTGCGTGTGTGTGTGTGTGTTGAGAGTACGTATGGTTAAGGATTTCTTTTTTTTTTTCATTTCTCATGCAAGAACACTGTTTATCGTAACGCGACATTGAAGCTTAGTCACACACCACGGGAGTTTGTTTTCGATTCAGAGAAATCTTTCGAAGAATTACATATATTATATATATATATATGGTGTCCATTTATACTTGTATACGTGTATATCGATATTATGAGTATCGAGGTTAGGACGAGTCGATGATTTAAAGAAAGAAAAACAAAAAAAAGAATAGAAAAAAATTGCTATTAGTAGAGTATAATATTATTGTCTTTAGCCAACAAGAGGAAACGCGTTAATTGTTATGTACGCTTAAATATCCTTGAAGAAATTAAAACAATGATCTTATGAATAGACGCTAAAAATTTGCTCTCCTATCATTATACTTGTTCTCGAGGATTAAATCAATTCTGATTCTAATCGAAAAGATATAAAAACTTCCCCCTCCTCCCCCCCTCCCCAGTTCCCCATCGAGAATTATTGCATGAGTATTACTCTGCAATTGTTTAGTTTCTAAATATCTGACGAAATTTAATTACAGAATTAACATTCCCATGTAAAAATGATCTCGATTGTTCGTCTTTATCGAAAGATCAGAAAAATTCTACGTGCCAGAAAGGATTTTGCGTTTGCGAAAACGAGCATGGAAAAATGTTGAATTGTTCCGGTTTGCAGATAGCTTCTCAGCAAGAAAAAACAGTCGGTAAAGTGTGAAAAATAACATAATTAATTAATGAAGAACAAGAACGAAGTAAAAACAATAATAAGTGTAGTTAAAGAATATTTGACGTTTAATCGTGTTTCAGTACCTGCGCTTTATCACCCGTGCAAACACGACGTTGATTGTCAATTAAATAATAGTTATTGTAATACTAGTAGAAGTCAGTGCGAATGTGTGAAAGGTTTTGTTTCATCGATGGACAAGCAACAATGCCTTCAAGGTAAGGGAAAAAATTAATTTGTTGCGAGAAGAATTATGAAAACTAGCGTAATATTTTTTTCTAACCACCCCTCCCACACCCCTGCAGCTGCCAAATCATTGAATTTCCCTTGCACCGAGGATAAACAATGTTTAGTTTTTCAATCTAATACAAGCTGCCAAGGACAGGAATGCGTTTGCATCGATGGTTATCACGCGGTTAACAATGTTTGTTGGAAAATATCTGGTAAAAAATTGGCGCTGGTAATAAAGAAAAATCATTAATCATTTATTTGTATTTCATTGAGATCTTGTGTCCTTTAGTTTTCGGCGGATCATGTTCGACAACGGAGGAATGTAATCATATAAAGGGAGCCATTTGTACGGACAAAAAAACATGTGGTTGCAATGAGAATAATGCAATAGATAAAACGGGACAAAATTGCGTACCTTTCGTGAATAATATCAACGAATATTGTATAGAAAATATCACGTGTTCTACGATACCCGATTCGGTTTGCATAGAAAATAAATGTCAATGTCCGAATGATAAACATTTCGTTGGTGAAATTGGACAATGTATTCGCAACAGGGGTAAGCTATTATTATAATAATAATAATAATTATTGCAATAACACAGAGACAGACATGTGTTGTACTTTTTGAATAATTATGAAATATTTCATTGGTATAGCAATCGACGAGCCTTGCATGAAAGATTACGATTGTTATCAGCAGGAATATGATACCAAATTGCAAAATAAAGGGTTGGTATGCATTGGAACCATTTGCGATTGTGCAATAGATTATATTAGAACTGGAGACAAGTGCGTTAATGCAGGTAAGAATCCACGTAGATTAGATTTGTCAATGAGAAAAATATATCATAAGTTTTCGAATATTTGTTTTTTAGGTTTTCTAATGAACATCGATTGTTCTTTGATCATGATCACGGTTGCCTTATCTTCGTACATTTATGGTTTCTATTTTTAATAGAAATTTATTCTCAACGAACATTATAATTGTTTAAGTCGGAAGATGTTGAATAGATCTGTTAAGTCGACCCTGTATTTCGATTATTTAAATTAATTTCATTTTCGTTACTCACACGACTTACAGTGGCCGCCGAGTACGAGAAATTGTGTTAAAGAAATAATTATGTGTTATGTTATAAAAAAAATAGTAGAGAGTTACCTGTACACGAAATAAGATTATCGAGAGATCTGAACGAATCTATGGTGAAATTAGCAAAATTATTTTGGCGACGACTTAATCTCATCTTAATGTTAATTATCGATCGGTATTAAAATTATGCGATACCAAAGAACAAGACAATTTTTTCAATGGGGATAGGATATAATATTTTTGGTTTTTTTATTATTATTATTATTATTTTTTACCCCTTTTTTTTCTTGGATTTTTTTTCTTGCCTAGTTTAATCATTCATTTCTTTCTCTTGCAAGATTAAATGAATAGAGAAAGAGATTTTCTAATATTTTATTTAAAAAGTATTGTGCATATATTTTATGCGAGTATTGCACATGTATAAATACATAATATATACGTTTATATGTAGAATGAGAGAGAGAGAGAGAGAGAGAGAGAGTCAAATTGTTTAAAGAATACTTTTATATGAAACTTTATCAGAGTTTGATTTTTCTACAAAAAAAAAAAGAAAAAGAAAGAAAAAAAAAAAAAGNAAAAAAAAAGCAACGCAGCATGAAGAGTTAATTTCTAATTCTAAATTCTTCAAATGAAATATATACATATATATATATATATATATATATATATATACCAGGAAAGTTTTCGTTGATAAAGGGCGAGTTAATAAAAAAAATGTTTAATTGTTTAATGTTTAATTCGCGATGAATATAAATGATTGTAAGAAAAATGTAAAAAAGTAAAATGGCCAGAACCATTTTACTCGCTACGTTGAGAAATATAATACGATCTCCTATGAAAATTCTAAACGTTCTATTATTTTATTTATTTTTTTTTTCTCTTCTTCAATTATGGATTAAACTTTCTAATTAAAAGAATAAGAAGAAAAAGAAAAAGCATAATAGTATCGCGAGAAAATCCCACTACTTTCCACAACTTCAACTCCTCCTACCACAAAAGTATTACCGATGACACATTGTTAGCTACCTAGCTGGAATCCTATCGACAGGTGTGTAATTTTCACCTGGCATAAAAGACACACGTCGCTAACGTGTAAAGATATTGTAAAGATATTACTCGTACGATGAACGAACAGATTCGTTCGTTCGTTCGTTCGTTCGTTATCTTTAGGTCTTGTTAACGATTAGATAAGATAAAATAAAAAAGGTATTAGCAGAAGAATCGTAAGTAAAGAGAAAGAGAGAAAGAAAGAGAGAAAGAAAGAAAGAAAAAATAGTTTTGTGCAAGTTTGTTGTAGAGTGAAGGAGAAGTAAAAGTATGGAAGAAGAAAGGATCATCATCATAAAAAATGATGAAGAAAGGATGAGGAAGAAGTGTTCGTTGTTGTTGAACGAGGGTGGAGCTAGGAATAAATGGTGGTGCACGCCGATTCGAGCGCCGACAGTGTTTCTATGTTTCCTCGCGCAAACATCAGTCGTCCTCGGGCACGGACAGCATCAACATCTTTTGCAAAGACGTGAGTTTCTTTCCAAAGTGATTATTTTTAATACTGATGATGATCATGATCATCATCATCATTTTCCTTTGCTTATTTTTTAATCTCATCCCCCTCATCTGTTCTCGTTAAAAACATTTTTGTCAACCATACTTTTGTCTATTTTATTGTTTCTGTGCTCGTAATTGATTGTAGAATCTTAATCGAGTAAATAGATCATTTTTGTTGTTGTTGTTCGTTTGTTTGTTCAATGATCGAATAATTACATTTTATTTTTCTTTAAGATAATTATTGTATTAGAAAAATTAGTTCATCTTTTCGTTAGAGATTTGTTTATCGTTTTCGGGTTTAGCAACGAAATTATATTATCGATTAACATTTGTTCCTAGTCGGGAAGGAATTATCGATCCGAAAGGTTGTTGTAAGACGAAACTTGCACCGGTAAACCCCCTTACCCGCCCCCCGTCCGTAGCAACCGGCTATTAATTTCACATTTTGCTTGCCGTCAGTTCGTTCTAGTTTAAACTATTTTTAAACAAAAATATCTTAGATTATTTAGTATGTTTCTATATATTTGATTATTTTTCTACGCGAAGTTACGTAAATTTAATCACGTTTATACTTTTTCGCAACCCAGTAATCCATTCTTCTTCTTCTTCTTCTTCTTTTTCTGCTATTATTTTTCACGAAGAATCGTGAAAAGACCGTGTTGCAAAGAAGAAGAAGAATAAGAAGGCCGGATTCACGCTGTTGATTCTCTACCGGTTAGGTGAACCTTTTGAACGTAAGAAGAATAAGAAGAGGCTCGTGTGTGTAATTAGTTAAGTAGGAGAACGCGATGTGAGATCTCTTAAATCCTAGAACATTTCTATTTAATTCTAATGATTTTGTAGAAAGGGAAAATGTAGATGCAACACTATTTTACAGCTTTCTATCTACAATACTCTACGATACAAACTATTATTAGTATTTTTCCATTGTAACTTAGATTTTTTCTGACACGCTGACGTAACACCAAACTCTGACGACACAACCAACAATCTTCTTAGTTTTTCCATTCCTTTTTACGTAAACATTATAATCGATTATTTTCATTCGTTTGAATGATTAATAGAACGATATGTGCGTTTATAAACTTAACACATTTTCCTTAAGAGTACTAAACCATTAAATCGCAATTAAGAACAGTTGCAGTTAATAGAATCGTGCGTAGTAACAATAGAAACATATACGTCCGTCACGAATGATTAACGGTGTAGAAACAATCATAATTATCATAAGCCATTTAATTATTTTCTAAAGGCCATTGAATAATTAGTTAAAATTTCATTTAAAAAATGACGTCTAATGAATTCCACATGATTTGGGAACAAAAACATTTGGGAACAAAACTTGACGTGTAGGAAAATATAATAAAGTGTTCGGCACCTTATGAAATCAGGGCTTCGCGGGAACGTGGGTGGGTGTGTGTCTGTGTCTCTCTGTGTGTGTCTGTTTGGACATCGAACAAAGCACATAATCGTGTTGCGCAAGCGATCGAAACAATAAGAGTATCACCCATTGAAGGATTGGCCTTCGGAGAACGGGCAAGAAGAGAGGACAAAAAAGTGAGATAGATAGACGAAGGTGGTTTTGTTCGTCGGGTTATTCGGATGTACGATCGTGAAAGAGGTGGAGCTGTTGAAGTAAGAGGAAGACGAAGGGAACAAGGAGGAAGAGGAGGAGGAGGAGGACAGGGTCGATGGAACAACGTTCGAAAAAGGACGAAGACGAGGAGGAGACAAGAAGAACATTTGTAACATCTCGAGGATGGTGATCGGTTTCACGAGAAGATTCCTCGTTCTCGTGGCCGTCACCGTCTGTGCCAGCATTTCCTTACCCTTAGAGGATTACCCCAAATGCAACGATCGCAGATCACCACCTCGTACGTAACATCATCATCATCATCATTATCATCATCTTCTGAGGACCCCCTATTTTGTTCTTCCTTATCCTTCCTATCTATTATCTTTTCATATTTATCTCAGCTTACACTTTACAGCAATCCTATTCTGTTTGTTAATTTTTCTAATCGCAGGATTAATCCAAGGACACCACACCTATATCCATCTATCCGAATTTATTATTTTTTCCAGAGACCCTAGCGACATGTCGTTACGATTTGGATTGCATGGAAAATGCTTTCTGTTGGAATCAAAAGGCTTGCTATTGCAAAGACGGCTACGTCGTTTACAGGAACAACAGCAACTATCATTGCTTGAAAGGTATCACAATGCATTATTTTTCCCTTTACCTTATCCCCGAGAGGTTCCCACGGGAATAAAGGTATTTACATATTTCATTGTGTTCGCGAGTTTAACTTCTGAGAAAGAAATAAAAAGAAAATAAAGTAAGGAAGGAAGAATTGGGAGGAAACTTCTTTTCCCATGATCCTATTTCTTTCGATTTCGACAAAAGTTGACTTTGAAATGATGGAAAATTTGTTAGGCTTAAGCAATAAATCGGTTTACTAAGATTTTGATTAATCGTTTTCTATTGGAGCGTTGCACGAATCGGTGTCGGCGACCTCTAAAGTGCAACGAGTCTTCTTATCCTCTCATTCTACCTAACAACCTTCCCTATTCCTTCCTACCAGTCCCTTTCTCACGGTTTCTTCTACCTCACTCGAAGCGTATCGTCGTTCGTCGTGCTCGCCGATCCAGCAAAACTTTTAACATAACGAAAGAATGATACGGGGTGGGAGGAGGGGAGTCTTGTATATACGTATGAACAACCCTAACTTATCGTGAGTAATCTCCTCATCGATCTCTTACTTTCCCTGCACGAATTTTCACAAATCTTATAATTATTATAATAATTCTCAAACACTCATCATTTTTCCTTTTATTGTTTGGATATTTTTAGTGGCCAACAACATCGAGGATACCTGCGTGGCCGATGTCCAATGTCACTTGACCTTTACCCTCCACTCCGAATGTCGTAATCACGTTTGTCAATGTTCTTCCACGGCTCATTTCGTAAACGGGAGGTGTTACGAATCCATTGGTTAGTTTCTAAGATGTCAATCTGATCAGAGTGATTAGAAATGTGATCATAATTATGAAAGTGGTTTCTAAGTCATATATATCTTGTTTCGAGATATTTAAAAAGGATTACATTTGAACATTAAAAATGAATTTTCTATATAATATTGAAATAACAAACACTATCTTCTAATTTTTTAATTATGTGCTTTGAAATAACTGATAAAATCATTTGTGTTTTTTGTTTGTTTGTTTAAATTTTCACTTAGACCACTTTCATAATATCATGGGCAAACAAATAATACGTGTATTAACTTTATCCATTTTTAGGATTGGCTAGAATATGTCAAACGAATCATAATTGTTACGTAAAGGATAGCTATTGCGTTAATGGTTATTGCGTTTGCGATAATCGTCAGCATCCCAATCCTGAGAGAACAAAATGTATCAAAAATGCTTGTAAGTATTTCCATTGGATAATAGGAATGTGAATTTTACATTTGTATTTAATATTTTCGATTCGGTTTTGATAGATTTAGGGGACAAATGCGAACAGGATTTCGAGTGCGTATCGGAGAACACGAGGTGCATGGAAATCTGCAAATGTAAAGTCGATTATGTACTTTCGGAGGATGGTACGCGATGTTTGAAAGCAGCCAACTCTGTTGGCGAAGGCTGCCGAGAAGATTCGCAGTGTCAGGAATTTTTACAGAACACCATTTGTCAGGATAATGTTTGTACATGCGTAGAGGAGTATCATCGTCGTGGTCCTGTCTGTGTCAGGGATGTTGGTCAGTTTAAAATGAATTTTCGATTTACAAAATGTTCCTCATTCTGAATTATCTTTTCTTGTTTAATTTTTTAGGACTGGGTCAACGTTGCGTGTCCCATAACGAATGCGTAACTCAAACCTACAAGCATTCCAATTCGACAGATTTGATGAAAGTTGATTGTTTAAATGGTACGATACTTTTTAATCTAATTCTTTCCAAATTCATTGAAATATTATTACTTACAATTAGAAACTACAATCATTTGTCTATTTTTTTTTTAAGATCGCTGTACGTGTGCAAAGGATTACATAATGTCGCAAGAATTGGACGATTGTATTCGATACAGCGAAAGTGGTATAACAAGAATTAATCCCCTCGTTTATATTTTGTCAATCGTGTTTATAACGAATAATATTTTCAGGTGCTACCAGTTTGCAAACTTATAGAATCTTCTTTCTAATAATTTTTGCAAATTTATCTATCTGGATAGTGGATAAGATCAAGGAATCGTAAACTACCGAACCAAATAGCAACAAACCTCTAAGATACACCATTTACCTTACCTAGATGATTATTTTAATATGATATACGTATTTATTGAAAATTATTCCATAACTCGATCGTGTAAATAAAGAAGAAACTTACGATAGGCGTAGATATAACCAAAGACAATTGACGACGAGTATAACGCGTTAAACGTAATCACTCGACGAAGTTCAAGTATTTATTTTTCAGAGTTTAAATAGAATTTTTGTATTATTTAATCCGTTTACCCCTGTTAAGGGTATCATACTTCAACGGGAGTATCATTCCGTAAAAATTCGTTCGTACATATAGTACAAGTCGTGTTGCATGATACGATCCCTGTATAATTTTGATGGGATCTCTTTGCATGAACGTAATTCATTTACTGGGTCTTTAATAACGAAAACTAAACAGTAAGTAGAATAAATAAAACGAAGAAAAATCGTTAGGCCTTTATACACCATCACATCACGCGTATAATTTTATTGGAATATTTCTAAATCATCTATTAATAATATTATTTCGGATATTTCAATAAGAGATAAATAAAAAAAGAAAGAGAAAAGAAAGAAAAAAAAAATAAAACGAATTGCTAAGTGATTTTCCAATCTTCCTTGATCATGTCACTAGCTTTTTCTGCAATCATGTAAGCGGAGGCAACTAAATGGCCGCTTACTATCAATGGTATTATACTGTTGTCGACAACTCTCAATGATTTAATACCATAAACATTCAATCGATGATCTACCACGCCTGATTTATCTCTCGGACTCATCTTACACGTTCCAACGTAATGCCATATTGTTCCAGCGGTGTGCCGAATTAAACACTCCCAGAAAGAATCCGTCAAATATTCCGTGTGGTTGCATCCGGGAAATTTCAAGGGTACCATGGTGATGTTGAAACGTTCAAAAGATTTCGATGAAGTTAATTCGATCATCTGTTATAAAATAAATGGTAATAGTTGGATTAGAAACGTATTGCATTTCTTACAAAATTAAAACAAAATATATAGACACATTGGAATAGAAAAATACCTTTTTGATTGCCTTAACTAAGGTCTTTGCGTCATCTTCGTGATCAAAATAATTAACATCTATGATAGGGTCATCAAAAGGATCGGTACTTTTTAAAGTAACTCTACCGCGACTTTTAGGATACATCAATGTTGGAAATATGGAGAAACTGTTCGATCCTACGTAATCGGCAAAAACATTGTTGTAAAATTCATCGGATAATGGAATAATATTTCGGAAAAATTCGGATCCTGCGCCAACAAAACCACCTAATGCAAGTAGCAACTCTGCGTCTCGTCTTTCGTGGATATTCGATTCTGTATTCATTGAAAGTATCACATCGTTATCATTAATCTATTCATTATCGTAAGACAAAAATTATTTGAATGAACAAAAAAATGACTGTGTCGAAGTTACCTTTTGTATTGTTATCATTTTCCGTTGATATAAAACCAAGACATTCTGTCAAACCAGGTACAGTCATTGGACCAGTTCCTTCGAAAATGTAATTTAAAATACTGCTTATTTGAATGATATCGATAACAGGTTTCTCTAACATAAAATTAAAAACTGTCGTGACTACGTGATCGTGTAAATTAAATCCTACGGGAAGATCCACGATCGTGTTGATATTGAAAGAATTTAAATGATCCTTCGGTCCTATACCGGACAGCATCAACAATCTCGGTGAATTTAGAGCACCTGAATTTTAATTGAACATTTTACAAGATTATTTTTTTTTCAATCAATAATTATTCTTCTCGCGAATAAAACACAACGTGACGATAATTCATTTGATTTACGTACCAGCACTGAGGATTACTTCTTTACTAGCTTTGACAAAATAACTTTTCCCGTTTTGATCAAAATTAACGCCAATCGCAGTCTTGGTTGATTCGTCGATAATTATCTTCATCACTATAGACGATTTGTATAAATACAGATTTTTGCGATTTTTTATCGGTTTCAAGAATGCCTTACCGGCATCCATTCTATGCCCATTATGCAGAGTACTTTGCGACGTGGAAAAACCAATGTTCTCTTTGGAATTGTAATCGATGAATTTGTAACCCAATTCCTTGGTAGCATTTATAAATATCTCTTTAATCGGTGATTCGTAGGAAGCATAACTAACATCCAAGTATCCATTGTATCCGTGAAATCTAATCAAATGTATTAGAAAATTCAAATGAAACGCTAAGTAATTGTACGAACGGAGAATAATTCGCAAAAGAAAATTGTACAAGAAAAAAAAAAAAACAAATTGATCGATGACTCGACAATTTTCTTCTTAAAGTTACGGAATGAATCTGATCATCGAGAATGATTAAAAAGGATACCTGCTGTCCGCATCGGGTATTTTGCAATTTTCTGATTTCTTAAAATATGGAAGAATCTCGTCGTAAGTCCATCCAGGATTTCCAAGAGCCGCCCAATCATTGAAATCATCTGGCGTTCCTCTTGCATAAATCATAAAATTAACGGTGGAGCTACCACCGATAGCATTGCCTACTGCTAAAGGACAACGTTTATTTTTGTAGGATAAACAATACCCGTTGCTTTCATTTATTTCTTTTGACGGACTATCCAGGTAATTATAAACGGAATTGGTCATTAATGTAGCAGCTGCTGTAGCTGGTATATCCGAAACAATGGTCTTCTCTTCTCCACTTTCCAACAGTAATACTTTCCATTCTGGATTTTCTGTTAATCTGTTAGCTACGACAGATCCTGCTGAACCAGCACCGATTATTATAAAATCGTATTCCAGTAAAATTTGTCTAGTTTCCTCGAAATGATCTATCTTTAATAGATTCCACAATACCGATGACAAACTATCCGATTTTTTCATCAATACTGGCACAAATATTGTCATCAACAAAATGACAATCGTATTGCCAAAGTATTTCTTCATTTTGAAACTGCGTTAAACGGATCAACTTTTACTTATTCGAGACTTGAATACTCTTCTAATCTTCTTTTATATCCTTTATCGTATTTTCAGATATATAAGCACTATTTACTTCTTAAGTACAATATTTTTCTGTAAAATATAAAAAAGTTATTGGTAATATGTGCATATCTACGTAATGAAAAAATGTCTAGAATATACTTACGTTTTTGTTATGAAACGATAACGATGCTAACTAGAATAAAAAACCTGACTCATCTTACTATGCATTTTTTCGGTTATTTTTGGCAACGATAAGAGAAAATAAAATTCACTTAATCTAGTATAGGAGACGGTAAGCGTCGTCGTCTTATCTTTTAGATCTGTCGAAGAAAACTCTGATTTGTTAGCATAAGGCTATAGGTATTTGTTAGATTTTAAGTAACCGGATACAACGGACGAAATAAAGGACGGTGTAAGAGAGAGGTTCTTCGTTGTGTAATAGAGATTATAATAAAACTGTTTTTCCCATTAAAAATCCTACACTATTGTTAATTAGGATCGATAGTATATGTTGTTACGATCTTAATCGTAATCTGTTTGAAATCAAATTTTGAGATTTTTAAACGATATTCGATCGAAGTACGATTCAACTTTGATGCAACTTTGTCGAGTCATTTCATCGTATCACTTTTGATTTTGCTGTTTCAGCGAAAAATTACAAATGGGTATACGTTTACGTATTAGTTTGTCATGAAAATTCTTTCAAACTAAACTATTATAGAAGTAAAGAACCATTTTAAATACTTTCCTTTATCTACGTTTCTACATAAATTACCATTTAACCACACAAAATTGTAATGACGAAACTGTAAATGATGAAATGGTATTGGCAGTAAGAAAGAATAAATGTTTCAAAAAAATGAGTTATCGTAGTAAAGAGAATAAATTTGGACATAATAACATGTGTAACGGTAAAAAAAATCCATCACGATTTTGTTAGCATGATAAAACTATCTTTCGGGCCATGTCGAAAAATGAATATGACCTTCCTTATTGTTTTAACGATTCTGCACAAGGAATTATCTTATCCGCATTCCAATTATTGATTCTGCTTACTTCATATGTTTTCATTAATTATACGTTTAAAACACGCGTTTATAAATCTTCAAATTATATATATATTTTTGTGTGCATTCTGATTATCATTTAACTGTACCTGAATAATAATTTAATACCTTATTCCCTTTTTCGTTTTGAATGAGTTACTTTATTTTTCATTAATTGTTCATTTTATCAGTCTCCTTGGTTGAATTTTGCAATGACCATTTGCAACGATAAGTATCGCAGCAGCAAAGATAAAGAAAAAGAAGAAATCATGTTAAAAGAATTCCAAGTACAAGCGAAATAACTCGACTAAGTTTAGTTGTCTTGTTAGCCATGAAAAGTTTTGGCCGAGTCTTTCTAGATATTCATCAGTAAAAATAATAATATTTCTTTCTTTCTTATTTTCTTTCTTTACTAACACAGAATAATGACTAATTACAATCCATTGATCTTTTGATCTCCCGCATGACTCGACTCTAAAAGCCCATGGAAGTTTGAACGATGTTCCTCGTACGCGTAGATCGATTAGCGTGACTCGCATAAAATTTCTTGACCGTTCTTGGTATGATTAACAGACAAAGAGAGAAAGAGAGAGAGAGAGAGAGATGAGGGGAGGGTTAGGAGGAAGATTAAAAAAAATATCTTCTCGTCTATCGCTAAATAGGATCGATCGAGTATGTGTGTGTGTGTTTATCACGATCACGATCTTATTCTACTTAAAATAGAATCTTGAATTCTGAAGTGATGATAAATCTAGGACGATGATACCGATCGACATACAATTCTGTTGCTGCTGATGCAATAACTAATTCATTATTTTATGCGAAATCATCTTTAGTACACCTCCATTGATCAATTAAACTAAACATTTAGAAAATTTGCAAATTTTTCTTCGACTCAATTTTCATCATCACCACCAACAAAATTCACCTATAATTCTTGTTTTATAATTAAACAAAAAAAAAAAAATAGGTTTTAATTTATTTTGATATCTTGGTGATATCGAAAAGCTGATGATTACAACTGCTTATTGAATTTTAAGGAAATTGATTTTATCGAGAAAGAAAGTATCAGCGATGAGAAGAAAAAATGTTATGGTTGAAGTAGGGGTATCGAGAGAAGAGGAAAAGGAGCTTTTGCAGGAAGGGGAATTATATTCTCTCTCTTTTTTCTCCTAGAATGATTGAATTGATATATACGAGGAGCACGTAGTCATACAAGTCATTGCGAATCTTGTGTTTGTCGATGTAACGTTCCCCGTTACATATATATAGAAAGATATTGCACATATAAATATATATCTATATATATCAGTTTTATTTATCTTTTTAATCTTTTTAAGGTATAGTTGTTAAGATATCGCTGAACTTGCTCACTTTCAATTTTATCGTCAACTCGTTAAATACTTTTAACGTGTGTGTTTTTGTTTTTTTTAAATAATTAGTGACAAACATTTAAACGAAAGTAATATAATCAACGAAATATATAAAAGATAGGAAAGTTAAGTGTAAAAGAATAATAAAATGCGAAAAATAATAAACGGGTATAGGCTACCATTGGCAAATTGGATTATTAGAAATCATTTGAATAACGTAATCGGAAGTTTTGGTTTACCTCAATGAAATTCGACGAAATTGTGAATCATTGGATCGTTCTAATATTCAATAAAAATCTAGGATAACTTGAAAGGTAAGAAATAAATAAATGATTAGAAAAAGTATTATACTCTCGCGAGGTCGTTACTGAGATTACACCGCTTATAGCTTTTTTCTTTTTATAGTTCATTTACTCACAGCTTGCTTCTCGAGAGTCTCGAGTAATTTAGTCGTCGTTAGTTGCATGAACGACTTGTCGAGAGAGTTTCGCACAGGTAAACCTTTAATCGAGTTTTTCTTTACAGGAGAAATCCAAAGTCGCCGAGTTCCTTAAGAAGATTGCAAGACTTTCCAAACCTTAAATTTCGAGTTACAATACGTGAGTTAAACAGAACATACGTAATACGAAAAACAATAAAAAAAAAACAAAAAAAAAAACAAATATTAAGATCGTTAACCACTTGCAGTGCAAAGAACCTCTCGGTTGCGCGTGCTAGAACAATTGAGCGGGAATCCTTGTCTTCTCCGTTAATTTATAGAAATAACATCACATTCGCTATCACTTTCCATTTTCTAGTCTCTAAGGTCAATATTGATAACTTTACACGATGTAGAGCCAGCAGAATCTGTGCCACGAGTAAAGAATTTTTTTGAATAGCGGACGTCTTTCCACCGCAAGTGATTAAATAATTTCATTGTGAAGACAAATTCATGAAAAAATCTTAACACTATTAGAAATAGAATTTGATATCCTTACCTTACGAAAAAAAAGTGTTGCAATTGATAATTATATAATGTCAAGGTGTGTTTCAAATTTAAGATGAAATCAAACAATGATCAATATATCCTTATATCATTTCTGAAGGTCGTATAAAACTATCCTGTCATTTTTCGAACCGAAGCTTCATCTTGAATGAACTCTCTCAAATTTGAACAAATATTTTTATACAAAAATGATTCAATCGTAGAAAAGAGGGCAAGAGAGAAATGAAAGAAAAAAATACAAGAATAATTTAACTTCAAAGATCGACGAAGTGTTGTTGCTCCTGCAATCGAATAAACGATATTGAAAACAGACCCCGTATCGTTGTGAAATCGATTTAAATACCTTTAAAAGTATTATCTTTATATCGAGACTTTTTAATTATTTTCAAAACCATTAATTTTTATTAATAGATTTCCCATTAATTAAAAACCAAATGAGATACACTTTTAATTTATTACGTTTGTACCTAATATGCGTTTGAAAAGTGATACACGTGCGCTAATTGTAATCTAAACGATGAAAAATATCACTGTCAATTTTATTTCCATTATCTCAACTGTTCAATTTAATGGAAATTTTATGAAAATGTCGATAAGAATAAATTTTGCATTTTTGTTGAATATTTACAAATATTACTATTGAAAATACAAATTAGTTTTCAGATAGAGATACAATTATACGATTTTTAACAATTATTTCACATAGTAAAATAGATTTTATTTTAGAAATATATTTATATATTTCTGTCATTTTTTATTTAAAATTAACCACGATAAATCTGATCGATACTTTCTTTATCGGTTGGTATAGATGATTTCAATTGCTTCAAAATTTATTCACAAATATATAATCACGTATAATTATAAATTCCTTAACGATTTGTAAATGCAATTAATTTCCTGATTAAATTTTTTTTTCTTGCATAAAAAACCTATCGAATGATATTATCATTAATCATTACAAATCCTTACCGTTTGTTTTATATTTATTCTGATTTATCCCAAACACGAGTGTTATCATTCTTCTCGTTTTATCTGAATGCTGGAGGGGTAGGAGGGGGGGGGAGGGGAGCAAGCAAGTTTCATCCTCCGATAAATCTCAAAACATTTTTCTAATCTCGATGGAACTTCACCAAGACTTGACCCACTAAATTTGACGAAGCTTCTTCTTCTTTTTTTCTTTCTTTTTCTATCATTAAAACAAATATAATGAAAAAGGCCAGTGATATTTTATTCGTTGAAATTTTAAATCTTTCGCGTATTAAATAATACGAGATAATGAAAAACAATAACGTCAGACACCAAAGTATCCAATATTCCCATTCCCCATTGTTCTAATCGTCTCGATATTTTTCCATTGAAATATCGAGACAATGATTCCAAGTTTACATTGTCAATCGATTTTTTTCCAATAAAAGGAAAATTTCATCGCGAGTCAGAGGAATATTTTCCGATTCGTTAAATATATATTTTATTTCAATTATTTCTGAAATATAAGGAGGGATGGAATTAATTTCTTTTAAAATGATCGGAAACGTTATCAAGAAAATATTTCACGCACGTTAAGTATGATAGAATCTCTCGAAAGCCTTGGAAGATATTTTATTAGTTATCATCATCGTTCTTCGTATAATCGCTAATACACACACACACACGCGCATTATTCTAAGAAATATTTTAATAAATAAATAAAATGAATCGTGCGTGCGTGCACGCGCGGATATTTGTATATCTAGGCCGAATAAAAATAAAGAAAAATCGTTTAAAATATATTAAATTAAAAAAATATTCTTCCGTTCGCTTTTTATATTCTGTCTAAGTAATAATATAGTCCGTTTATGAAACGAACGAGAATGTTCATCAGTCTCTTGTAGGAAAAATTAATTGTTTCAATCGTTCCAATAATCGTCCTGAGAGTTCTTCAATCTTTAGGGTCAAACAATTGGCAAGAAATAAGAAAGAAAATAGATTGCCATGCAAATTTCAATTATATCGTAGGATTGAAGGGGGGGGGAGGGAGGGGAAGATGACTTGTATGCATGTAATGCATCCTAATCGAGTTTCAGATGCTTCTACTTGTAATACAATACGTTCATTGCATCCGTCTATTATTAAAAGTCTCGATTACGGAACTCCCCCGTTCGTTTTTTCATTGATTTCCTTTTAAAGGTTTTTGAACTTTCTAACGATCTATAGAAATTAATGACAAATACATAATATATACGTTAATGCACCCTGTTATTGATGCCCCCTATAGAAACTCATAACAAACTCGTAGATCTTTGCGTTTTTGAGGTTAAGTTCGAGCCTCTGGTATTGATCCGAAAAAGTAGCTGTTTTTTTCTTTTCTTTTCTTTTTTTTCTTTTTTTCTTTTTTTTATGTTTCAAATCAATTACGTGCAATAAAATTTGGAATTCAAATGTGTATCATCATCGTACGAGATTTTCCAGCCAGCACTGTCGCAAATACGTGCGATAAGTGTGAAAAAATTGATCAACAAATCGGAATACTTTTTAAAAGGACAGCACTACCACCTCGTGGCACTTGTTCGTTCGTTCATTTGCCGGTGCATAATTTTTTCATCCAATGTATGTATCATCGTACGTGGCTCGCGATTTCTTAATTTCACCAACAAGCTTCCCGTTACGAGGTTAACCAAGCAACTTTCTCATGCGGTTTGTACATCGATGTTTTTTGCTAAGTATTTTTCTCTTTGGTCCATGTGTGTGTAGTAGTACGATTATAAAACTACATTGACATACATTTTATCGATCGTTGATTATTCCAAAATGCAGAATAAACGATTATTATTATTATTATTATTACTGTGCCAAGGATATATCAATACAAATTGACCATTCGTTTTGTTTTGTATTTTTTTGTTCTACAGAAGTCGGAAAAATGCTTTCCCTGGGTTACGTCTACTTTTTAACCTCGTTAGGTGAGTTATTATTCAATGAAATTAAACTCGTAAGATGTTTCTCTTTGTTTTCTAAAACAAATAATTCAACGAAACGTTTTAGTTAGCGTATGGGCCGATTTCAACGTTTCCACTCATGATCTTAAAGTAGGACTTTATCAAAGGAAATCTGTGAACATATACTTGACGTATGTACCTGTTTTATTATTAATTTTCTTATCTAGCGCATAAAAAAATCACATTATTATCTCATCACTTTTCTATTATCAATTTAAACGAGACAGAGATAACGTTAAGTACGTTTCCATGTATTTTTAACAATATGTTTAACACACTCGATTACAACGCATATAAAAAAGTTAATCCTTTATATATATTGGAGATATCTAATTGATTAAAAATTTATTTGACAGAGAATCTATATCGCAAAATGTAACAGTAAGGATAGATATACAACACAAGGATTTGATAACTGTCGAGCCACCTGAATTTTCTGCTACCACTGACAAATTAGAATACGAGATATTCGTTAAAGGTATTTCTGCTGGGCATTCAACTCTAAGTTTAAATGTCACACCTTCGAATGTTACAGTGTATGTATAAAACATATAATTATCAAATTTATTAAGATATTAAATATAATATTGGCGAGAACCCCCTAAATGTGACAATAACATCATTTCCAATTTGATATTTCTTCTTCTTTTATTTATTCTCAGCTTTAATCTTGCATCACGTATCTCATTGACTGTAATAAACATTGGAATCGTTTATATAACATCCTCCTGCAGTTATATATATATATATATTCATTCAAATATCTCATATTATAATTTTACATACCATAAGATTATTATTTATGTTATTTGTTCCGACTCTGGCACAATCCTCGCATTGTTTGTTTAGTCTGACTAAGTTTTCAAAAGATTCCAATCGTTACACATGCCATTCGAGTATTCAACCGTAATTGTACAGATAGCCTCTTGACCTGACTTTGTCATCAAATCTGAAACATGAGATTCAGTCAGTCTATGTCCAGATTTGGAGCTGTGTACTTCCTTCTCATTCCTGTTAAAATGTTTCTCTAGTGTGTTTTACGTTTCAGTGTATACAAAAGTGTCATTACATTTTAATCTTAATCAATTGTTAAAATTACCCTAAATTATTTTATAAACAATGACCGCTTATAAAATAATCATTATACCTGAAGATCAATTAAATACACTTCATTTGAAGTAAGAACATTTCTTTTACCTTTAATTTTATTCTTTTAGAATGAATTTGATTCTTTTTTTTGAAACTATTCTAAAGAATTTGTCTTTTGTTTGTTTGCAGTTTTACGGATGCATTCGTTAGAGTGACAGTGGAAAAATCTGATACGATTTATCATTGTAGCGTTGTAGTAGGATGGATTTATTTTCTAGCATGGAGCGTAAGCTTTTATCCACAGATCTACAGCAATTACAAACGCCGAAGTGTTGTAGGACTTAATTTTGATTATTTATCGTTAAATCTCGTTGGATTTATTATGTATGCGTTATTTAATTGTGGTCTCTTCTGGATAACAGAAATAGAGGTGGGTGGTTGGTTAACGATTATATAAAATGAAGTTATTCCACGTAATTAATATTAATCCGAATTCTTCTTTTCTTTTTTTTTTTTTTTTTTTTTAGTTAGAATATTTTAATAGATATCCAAAGGGATTGAATCCTGTACAAGTCAACGATATATTTTTTTCCCTACATGCAGTATTCGCCACTGTGATAACTATCGTTCAATGTTTTATTTATGAGGTAATACGATAAAGCAAACCCATAATGAGATGATTTGTTTTAATTAATTACAATTGAATTTGATTTGTTTTGTTTTTAGACTGGTTCTCAAAGAGTTTCTACTACGGTGCGTATAGTTCACGCGCTATTCGCGATATTTATATTTATTTCTATGTTACTTGCCGTAAAAGCTGTGATAATGTGGCTGGATTTTTTGTATTACTGCAGTTACGTTAAATTATGTATAACTCTTATTAAATATGTGCCACAAGCATTTTACAATTACCGAAGAAAGTCCACTGTTGGTTGGAGTATTGGTAATATATTTTTAGATTTCACCGGTGGTATATTGTCGATGTTACAGATGATACTGAATGCGTATAATTATGGTAAATGCATATCTCAATCATATTTCGTTAAATTAGATTTATATATTAAATTTTAATAATTAATTTCGTATTATTTCTAGACGATTGGGAAAGCATTTTTGGTGATCCAACGAAATTTGGACTTGGATTCTTCTCTGTAGCATTTGATATCTTTTTCATTATACAACATTACGTTTTGTACAGGTATGATTTAACTTCTGAAATATTGTAACGATTGGTTCCTTTTCTTTTTTTTTTTTGCGTAATATTTAATATCAAGTAATTTTCGACTAACAAAATGTAATCAAGTGCATGTTGCATGTATTGGTTAAAGACATTTATCACCATTCCCTGCTTATATAATGATATCTTCTTCGAATGGCTATTTGCAAATCTTTATTATTCTACCGAATGCATGATTTTATTATCTAAATAAAAATAATTGGTGAAAAAAAGTTGGAGCGCTTCATCATCATCATCATTATTATTATTATTATGTATTAAATTATATAACAATACTTTATAAATTACTTTTTTTTCTTCTTTTTAACGCGCGTGAATATATGAAAAAAAAAAGATTGAAAGTTTGTATCGTGTTACCGGATAACAATTAACAATTTGATTTTAACTCGGGCTTGTTAATGCATATTTCCTTTTGCATCGTTTAATATTATTTGAAAATGAATAGAAATATATATATATGCGCTTTGTAAAGTAAATGCTGTTTAAAAAAAAAAAACCAAATGCTTCTATTGGCAAATTTAGAAATTGTTTCCCCATATACGCAAGATAGGGAAGAATTTTGATTTTACAGATTTATCAGTGAAAAAGAAATCGACCTGAATGGCAAAGTATAAGCGAGCATCTATCTATCAACGGCATATCTTTAATCTCATCAAATAAACATCCTATTATTTCTGTTCGATAAAAAACAATAGATACAATTATTATTATTATTATTATAATTCACATTCAGTGTTGAAATAACTAAATGTATATTAACGATTCTAACACAATGGAAATGTGCCTGAAACAAAAATAAGAAAGTACGGATCATTTTTTCTTTTTTTTTTTTTTTTAAGTAGAACGAGTAGAACTCATCTTATTTATTGTTGCGTTAGTATTATACGAATGTAAAGTATTTTTGTTTTCCATTATTATTATTATTATTATTATTATTATTATGAATAATTATGATATTTAATACAGTATTATATATTCTTGAATATATGTTAAAGAAACATTTAATAGAAGTTTCTTTTTGTTGGGAAATTATATTTTGGAATATTAAACCCCGTTCGTTATGGTTATGTTTTGGCGCGAGTATCGTCCCATTAAAATTGGCACGTGGCATCCCTATATGGGGGTCAGGTAATTCCTATGCGAGATTCACACACATTGTAATATAATATTATATACTTGATCAAGCTTGAAGATTACACGAAGAAGACTATTTAATTAACTTAAGTTAGATTAAAGTTTGAAATTAATTGACGATTGTTAATTATACGCGGTTTAACTAACTATCTATAATGAATTATTTTTGTTTTGTTATAATTTGACAAAGTTCTATTTTGTATATAATTATAGCAAAATAAGTTAAATAAATAATGTATTTGCGTATGTTACTATTCAGTAATTCTCCCATTCATTCAAACTGTTATTAAATAATGATAATAATGTCTTTATAACTTTTATAAATGTATATCATGTTTTATTTAACAACATTTGTTAAATCACAAAGGAAATGTGTGTTTAATATTATGTTTTCTTTTTGCGTGATATATATATGCATGCGGCATGTTTTTTTTTTATATTAAGCATGTTAGTTTTTTAAGTTTGTCATTTTTTTTATATATACTGTAAGTAATTAGAAATTATTTAATAATAATATCATAGCAATTGTGTGTGTGTGTGTGTGTGTTGCACGTAATCTCGCGAGCGAGTTAAGATACGATATTTCTTCGATAATTAATTTTAAATAAAAATAAACACGTCTTTTATATATATATATGGTAGATTGTTAGAAAATAAAATATCGAAAAGGGGGAAGGCTTTGTAAAATAGATAAAAATAGCTTAAATTACTTTTTCCACAGAAACCGTAAAGACTACGTGGACATTCCTGGTGACTGTCATGGTGATATAGAAGAAGGCACTTCTTCTTCTTCTTCTACCGGCACGCATACCTAATTCCATATACATTTTTATACTCTATTTTATATATATATATACATATATATATGTTTTTCTTTATTTTTAATAAATATTTATTTATGTATTAAGAAGAGAGAAGCGCGATTAGATAACGAGATTAGTAATCTAAATGAAATTATTTCGTTACTGCATTTTTTAATCGATACAAACGAAAAACGTTAAGAAAAATAATGAAGATATGTATGTGTGATAGAATTCATTTCCTAAAAAGTGCAATATTGTTGTCATTGTTACTATTATTATTATTAGGAAGAAAAACAAGATTTTATTCTCATAGGAAAACATGTTTTACGTAGCATGGAATAAACGAGTGTATAGCGTTTGAAAAATAATTGTTTAACATGAAAAGAGAGGGACGTAAAAAGTGAGATAGAACCCCATAATAAAATCAGATTATGGTAGGTTTTAATTTATTGCTTTTTTTTTTTTTAGTATGGAGTGTGTTTGTTTTATGAATGATGATAGATCGAATCGATAACTATTGCGAGATGCGTTTGTTTATAGAAGAATGAATGTGTATGAGAATAAAGAATATTAAAAATGTTTTGTTGTTACACGAAATATAATAGTTCGTTGAGTTGATTGACGAAGATATGAATCATCGAAGAAAGAAATTATCTAACTGTATTTAAACAAAAAATATATTAAACCTGACAGTGTTTAATCCTTTGCACCGAAAAAGGTTGCTCTCGATCACCACTTGATTTGATGCAGCAACTCTAGAATGATCTGTTATTTCTGTTTAACACACACAAATGTAGATAATTATATAAAAAATTGTTTGTGAAATCATATATAAAAGATGGTTGTAAGATATTCAACAAATATGCGAAAAATCGTCTAATAAAAAATGCCTCGAAGTAGAAAGAATTAATAATTATATTGAAGTAACAATGCGGACAGATAAAAAACAACTGATATTCTCATTAAAAAAAGGAAAATGAAATAAACAAGAATTTGTTTGTAATGAATATTGTTTAAAAGCTCGGAGAAATATCTTCTGTGATCCGTCCTCCTCGAAATTCACCGTTGATCTGAGTCATTGTCCTCTGTTAAAGTTCTTTTGGTGAAAGTTGTTTGCAGGACTTTCCGAACGTTGCGCATGTGTATAAGCGGAATAATCAATAAATCAATAAAATTTTAGATTTTAACATTCTAATCTTAGCATTATTTTCATTTTAATGTTATTATTTTAGTGTTCCTGCGCGCAGTGATGACTTCGAGGCTAAAATTTTTTTGTAATATAAGTAAAGTGTATTAGTACATTGAAATAATTGTTAATTAATCAAAAGAATGTATATTGTTACCTAATAACACGGAGTATATGTTCGGTACACCGTCCTCCTCGAAATTCTCCTTCAGACTGGCACGTTGCCATCTATAAAAATACTTTTATTAAATATTGTTTATATGAGTTTTTGAACGTGCGCATGCACGTAACGGGTGTAATATTCCTAATAAATACAATTTTTTCTTTCAAAAATCGCGCACAAATGTAACGCACGTCATTTTTTTCAACTATCGATATCCCAATTCGCTATCGTACGCTTGCTTAATCAACGCGGATTGGTCGAACTGAGAGTCACGTGATTTCTGCAGCGATACACAGATCGCGCTGCTATCGATTACCGAATTTTCGTCGAATTAAAAAACAGGTAAATTTTCAAACATGTTTATAAACTAACTTCCTCTTTGATATAAGAATTATAATTGAGTTTGACAGAAAATTTTCGTCCTATTTTAATATAATTCTTATCCTAATTTAGTTTTAATTTTTGGTTATCAATGAACATAACCTCAATCCCAAAAAAATGTTAGAAATGATATCAATATACTTACCTTTTTATGCTTTTTTTCCATGATATTATTATGTTGGATTGTAATCATTGTAATGACATTCTAAAATATTTTCTCATATTCCAGAATGAATGCATCCTTATTTTTACGCGTGTCATCGCAATTAAGACCGAATTTTGCCAGAAACTTAAATTGTTGGACAGCAGCTATAACAAAAAAACACCAGAATGTTTATGTGAATACGTATCCTACTATTCTCGTTCTTCCTGATGGCAGTAGCATGAACATTGAATATAATATACCAAGAAAAATAATCGTTCTTCCTTTAAATATTGCCGAACTTTCAGAGGAAGAACAAAAACTTAAAATTGAAACACGTAAACCTAAGACTAAGGTTGTTCTAATGGATGAGATACAAGATGATTTTGATGAATTTAAATATGTTAATATGAAGAAGCGATAATTTAAACTATTTTTGTAGTTGTACATTTTATACATTGATCAAAATAACTAAGAGATAATTGACGTAAAGAGTATAACAAATGTAAGAGTATAATTATTTCATGATGTTTATCTCATTTCCTTTTCCATATTTGTATTACATCAAATGTCATATAATTGCAGTGCTGTACTTTTGTTTTCGTGTGCATATAAATAAATGCAATAAAGTATTTACTGAATGACCTCGTAGATATACATATATATACCAGTTCAAGTCCACATGAAATGAGCATTGGAAAGTAAAAAATACCGATTCGAATTAATGCTAAAACTAATGCTATATAATATTACGTAAAACGTGACTGACTATAAGTTTAAAAAGAAAAAAAAAACCCCATTGTACTAGTTATATAATAATTAAAAGTTTCCTAATCTATTATGCATTATCTTGTTGACCTCCGATCATATTATTTTTTCTATTGCATAATAAAAATTTGTATATCAGTCATTGCAAACGAATGAATAGTAATAATAATAATAATAAAAAAAAAGAAATAAAAAGTATATGAAGATCGATGAACGCGAACGATCTCGGTCCGGTCGAGCAAGTCAAGGATCAGAGTTGTTTTGATTGATATTTCGCAAATTAAATTGACCCTCGGGTGGGGATATTTTTCGTTGGCAAAAGAGTCACGCGTATTTTTGTTTTCTCTTTATTATTTTTTTTTTTTCTTTTCTTTTTAAGAGATAGCCAAACAAAGATTGAAAACTTTCTCCATTTAACGCGTACGCGTCTTGTCTTTCTCTTCTGTCTTTTTCTCCCACCCCCATGTCCTACGGTGTTTCTCTGAGAGAGCCGTGTTAACCAGAAATAATTGTCCTATCTACCGAACGAGGAATTAACTTTCGAGCCAGTGGTATGATAATAGTTCAGAGTCGGAACCCCCCCGTCTTAATGTGGACAAGCGAAAGTAAGTTGTCTAATGCAGGTGTTATTAATCGAGGATACAACAACCGGACTTGCACTTTCGAAAACGGAAGGAAAACTTGTCTATGCGTATAACTATGCACCGTAGAATAAAACTAAATGGGCGTGATCAAATAATTAATTTTATTCCCGAACGATTGTATTAACTCCCCCTTATCGTTTCTATTTGGTTATATATAAAATACATAGGTACAATTTCAAATTGGGAAAAATAATTGTGGAAACTTTGATGACCATACACTGTCACGTCATCTAGACAGAAATTACGTAATCACGTAGAATTTTGCTCGGTCGATCTGACAAATTGGATGCCGCAATCAGAACCTTTGAATATTTTCTTAAATATCCGAAGGTATATATAGTCAAGTTTGTCCTTTAGGTGATGTAATATTTAATGCATTTAACATTTCAAAGTTCTCTATTATCTGATCATTTGCTTATGCAATATTAACTTTGGTACAATCGAGAGAATTGCAAATATTATTGAGATATTCATTGATTTTGATTGATTATATTTGGGAAAGTATTTGGTTGTGTAATATTAGAGATTAGAAAAGAATGTGTTATTTAAGTCGAGATTATTTCTAAAATTAGGTCGAGA